GAGTAAAACCCCTTATGAAGAAAATGGTTGATATCATTTACCTCAGCCCATACTTCCATGGAATATGCAAAACCTGCTGGCTTATTCGAAGCACCAATACCAAGGAGGTCAATGGCGTAAACTGTATAACTTTGAGCCAAAGTTGGAATATTCCTAAAATGGTCTCAAAAGCAGAAAAGTAGGATTCAGCTATTGGTTAAAACATTGATATGTCACAAAATTTTCACTCGTACTAGAAGCATTAAGTAACTTCCTTAAAAGAATCATATTTCACTTTGGGGAGTAGTTGCTAAATTAAATCAATCAGACAAGGCAATGATTAATGAACAAGGCAATGATTAATGAAGGATAGCAAAGCTTAAAGATAATTAGTTTTAGTTTAGATTCACAAATTAAGAATTTTATTTTCTTCTCAATTTTTATTTTTCATAATTTTATACTTTTAATTTTTAGAATTTTATTTTTTCTAAATTTCTAAATTTTCATTTTTAAAAATTTTTTATTTTAGAATTTTATTTTTATAATGTTTTACTTATAAGTCTATTTCTTATTTTAATCATTTTTAGTGTTTTCACTGGAATAACTCAACAAGTAAAATACAGTATGAATTCTATATTATAAGTTAAACTTGTTTTCGTAAATGCGTTTTAAAAAAATATTAGACCAAACAGATTTTGAGCGTTAAAAACTGCAAATCAAGCGTCTCTTAGCATTTTCAACTTTTTTTTTTCAATAATTTGAGGGCCCAACAATTTTTTTTAAGGTTCAAATATTTCAAGTTTTTATCAAATATGTAAAATGTTTTTAAAAGTCTTCTAATGTTATTAAAGTTATGGTTAATTACAAAACTAGGCAATATATAGGGGACCAAATTGAAAATTTAGGTGAATTTATAAGATTAACATTACAAATTTTAGATGAAATTATTTATAAATAAGATGTTTTTCTAATATGTTATTTTTTGTTATGAAATGATTTTGATTTTGGATAGAAGAGAGGATGAGAGACGTTTTTGCATATCAAACTGTGAGGAATATGACACCCAAAGGGTCCTATTTATAGACCATGAAGGGGTGTGGACGAAATGGTTGAGGCCAAACCATGCACCCTTTCCAAACAATGCACCTTTATGAAAAGGTGTCTATTCACTAATGGTTGAGGCCTTTTTCGTAATTTCTCATTCATCCGATATTGGTTTTCGAAATGCCAAATATACCCTTCAATACATGCAGAGAAATCAAAATTCTCTTTCGGGGGCGTTGCCCCCGACCCCCCACGTTTGTGCGCTCCGAAGCGGCGAAGTGGCAAACAATTTTGCCAAAACAGATTGAGTCGAGCTTTTGAGTATTTGCCCGAATTCGATACGAACTTTAATCGATTTTCAATTCTCAATTTATTTAACCAATATCCAACAAAAACAATTTACAATTCAAGTGTTTTAACTTAGGCTTGCATATCAAAAATAACTTTGATGAAATTTTAATTAACAAAGAACCAAAGAATACTTTCTTTTGCACTAACAGAAAAATATAAATTTTGTAGATATGCCCAGAATTTTCATAAATGAGTAATGACAGAACAATAAATCTACATTTTTGGTTGCTTGAATGTTATATGGAACTACTTCATTTATAATTTTAAATTAAAAGAGTAGGGGATAGAATCAAATTTCGGCCTCAACGAGACAAGAAAATGGAGCACTTAACAACGTATCTTCGCAGACTAAGAACTACAAGATCACCTTTTTCATTCTTGGGTGACAAAGGGATCGTACCATTCAAGTCGATTTTTTCCGTGCTCTTTCCGAAGGTCTAGAGAAAGCTACGAAGGGGGGCATACTCAATTGGAGATTTTGGAGACTTCCATAAAAAAATTAAGTGGATGGTTTATGTGAATCTTGTGCGCTTTTAAGTGAATTCTATGGATTCATTAAGAATTAATAAAAGTCTCTCATGGATTTCTGTAGACTTTGATTAAAGATTTTTCATCTTACAAATTCATTATATACCTGAAAAATTACAAACTTTCTTACTACCTAATTAACATTTTCGAGAATCATTATGCCCACAAAAATTTCTTGAGGAAAGCCACTAGTCACAGCCCAATCATTCAATTTTGACGCAAATAAAATAGTAAATTTTTTTTACACTAAATTAATATAATTTCTAAGAAACAAATTGTTCTTACTAGAAAAAGAAAAAAGAATAGGTTGATTACATGGAATTTTACGTTTAGAAAATCAAAAGTAATTATGTATATATAGAATAATTATAAATTGACTACAACAAATATAATAGAGAGGTATAAGGGGAAAAAAGTTGTTTTTTTTTTCTTATGGGTTATGAAATCTTCACAATATATGAAGACTTTTCTTTGAGATTTGTTATTTATATTTTTTACTTAAAAATCTTCAAAAGTTCAATAAGTAGCTAATTCTCCAAAAGTTACTTTCTATTTGAATGTCTTCAATTAAACACTCCCTGACTTTTAAAAACTTTTTAAAAATCTATAGAAGTCTCAATTAAATGTATCTAAACTTTTCCTGGGAATTGGGTGGAAAACGAATTTCAGGGAATTGAATTGCCTAGAATCGTTTTTCTGAGAATTGTAAATTATTGTGTTTGATTGATATAATTTTTCACTTGAAAAATGTTGAAATAAATGTGTTTTTTTTTATGTTCGTTTGACTTTGTTTGACATGAAAATTGTCAATTAAAAGAATAGAATTTACTGGTATTGGGGATGACATTGGTCTCCATCACCAAAAAGCAAAAAAATAAATAAATAAATAATTTAAGAAAATCATCTATTTTTTAGTGTTCGTTTGGTTTTATTTTATATGAAAATTATCAATGAAAGAGAAATATTTTTTTACAATAATTCTTAAAATTGGTTTCCATTGCCTAAAAAAAACGAAAAAAAAAATCGCTACAGTAACCGAAAATTTCAATTCTGACCATATATGGTGAGAATTGAAATTCCACCAAATCAAGGAATAACACAACTTCCAATAAAAGTTAGAAACCAATTCCATGGAAAATTTTGTGAATCAAACACTACATTTTGCATTTCCATGGAATTGGGTGAATCAAACACCCCTTTAGAGAGTTTTTGAAAATCTCAATTAAATACACCTAAACTTTTTAAATCCTCAAAAGTCCTTAAAAATCCCAAATGAATACATTTAGAAGAGAATTTCCCTAATCCTCCCTTTCCAAAAGAAAGAGTGTAGCTTCCTTTTCTTTTTTATAATCAACACTTAATCATACAATGTGAGTTGTTAACTTTAATTTATGACTGGATTGTTATAGTTTCTTCTACCCAATACTTTTTGGCTTTAAGTCTAGTAAATTTCTTAAATGAAAAATGGGGAAAAGGATAAGAAAGTTAAACAGATAGTTTTGTATAGAAACGAAACAAAAAGTAAAAACATATATTATTAATGGGTATTTGTTATGTTTTACTTGAGTAAATGTTAAAAAACATTCCTAGACTTACATTTGTTAACGTAAGAGATAGGCAAGAGAGGGAACAAAGTCAATTGATATATGCCTCAGAATTCAACAGATTACATATCAAGTTGGGACAAGTAATAAACTACTTAAAGCTTGCGTATTGTTTGCGTAAACCACATAACAATTTAAAATTGTTTATACTGTAATAGAAATATAAAATTTGGTCGTCCGTGGATTATTATTATTATTTTTTTTAGTAGTCGATTCAATTCAGGTAAATAAAGAAGATTGCAGTAGGTTGATAGCTAACATAAACTTCTTCAGTTTTATAGTAGACTATTGTAAACAAGTCTTAGTGCGTGTTTGACTAAGTCTTGAAAGTAAGTATGTATTCCTATGAATGAATTATATTTATACAACAAAAATATGGGAGAACTGAACGGTGATTTAATTCTTGAAGTTATCACATACTTTTCCTTGAAAACATGCAATTCGGTACAAAATTATTATTATTATTATTGTTATGCCTCATCACATGTGGCTCCACGTCATCGAGACTCTCTTGTCCACGTGGCCAACCATCGAGGCTCCTTGGTTAATTAGCCAACCCACGCGTGTATTGGAATCACCTCCGGCGAGCCTCCCATACAAGACAAGGTGTGGGAAGATTAGTCCGAAGCCCATTCATGTCTAATCTGTTGAAGAAGAGGCACTGAGGCGAGGAAGATCCACAAAGTCCAAAGCTTGCTACAGCAAGTGACGACCCATATGAAGAAGATCCTGAACTTATGTATAAAATCTGTTTGGAATGATTGATGGGATATTTGTAATAAATATAAATGTCAAGTCTTGTCAATAAAGTAGCTGTCCTTTCTAAACATTAAATGCACCACATGCTAGTGAGTCCAAATTGATGCCTGGGATTAGATGTTTAGACCAAGGAGATGAGGTCACGTGTATTTTTATCCAAAAGCCGCTATTTCATTTGTAATCCTATAAATACTGAAATTGGGGAGATGATTAGAATGAAGAGACCACAATAAAAGAGAAAGCAATTGTTATTCTTGTTCCAGCCGTGTACTACCATTATATAGGTCTAGGATACATATCAAAATAGGAAATATATTCTATATCTATAACTAAGGAAAGAATATTACGGTAACTATAATAAATTAATACATAAGGAAACAATTAAAACACCAAATCCTTAATAATATTCTGGTATCTTCAACACTCCCCCCTCAAGCTGGACGATACAAGCTAAACAGTTCCAGCTTGCACACCATGTTTTCGAACATGGGTTTAAATAATCCATTCGTTAATAAGTCTGCAGCTTGTTTAGATAAAGACAAGTACATCATATATATTGTTCCATTTTCTATTTTCTTTTTGATAAAATGTCTATCCACCTCAACATGTTTAGTCCTGTCATGGTGAACAGGATTGTGAGACATTGTGATGGCTGCCTTATTATCACAATAAACTTTCATAGGCTTATCTCCTTGGAAACCAAATTCATTTATTAGTAATTTTAACCACATTACTTTAAATTCCATGTGCCAAAGCTCCGAATTCAACTTCAGCACTATTCCTGGCTACAACTGGTTGATTCTTACTCCTCCAAATGACTAGGTTTCCCCATAAAAAGGTACAATAACCGGTTGCGGATCTCATGTCCATCGCGGATCTCATGTCCATCACTGATCCTGCCCAATCAGCATCTATGAAGGTTTCAATAGACCTTTTTGAATTTTGTCTGAAGTAGAGTCCAAAACCAGGAGTCCCCTTCAAATATCTTAGGATTTGGTAAATAGCTTCCATATGCTTTTTAAATGGAGCATGCATGAATTGACTCTCCACACTAACTGTACAAGCAATGTCCGCCCAAGTGTGTGACAAGGAGATGTGCTTTCCTATCAGGTGCTGATATCTCCCCTTATCCACCAATGTGCTTCCTAAGCAATCTCCAAGTTTATGATTGGGATTTATAGGAACATCCGTTGGCTTGCTTCCTAGCATACCCATTTCTTTTAAGATATCCAAGACATATTTTCTCTGTGAAATTGAAATTCCACTCCTATTTTTTGCAACCTTTAGGCTAAGAAAATACCGTAAAGGATCGAAGTCTTTTATATTGAATCAGCTGAAAGTGCTTTCTTCAGCCTCTCCATTTCTTCATAGTTATCTCCTGTTAAAACTATATCATCTACATAGACAATTAGAATGGCAATTTTTCCGTCAGACTTTCTGTAGAACATAGTATAATCGATTAGGCTTGGTGTATTCTTATTGATAAACAGCATTCATGAATCTCCCAAACTAGGTTCATAGATATTGCTTTAGCCCACGTAAGGATTTGTCCAGTTTATGGACCTTTCCTTTGACCTTGGCTCCATCAAACCCAGGAGGAAGTTCCATATATACTTTTTCTTCCAGATCACCATTTAGGAAAGCATTTTTTACATCCAATTGTTGAAACTTCCAATCTATGTTTGCTGCTAGTGCCAGAAGGACTCTCGTTGTATTTAATTTTGTAACTGGAGCAAAAGTTTCCTGGTAGTCAACTCTATATGTTTGAGTATCTCCACTTGCCACTAATTTGGCTTTATAGTGCTCTATCAAGCCATCTAACTTGTACTTAACAGATAACATCCATTTGTACCCAACAATTGACTTATCCTTAGGTTTTTCCCCAATCTGCCAAGTCTTGTTTCTATTCAAGGCTCTGATCTCCTCCTCAACTGCCTTATTCCATTTTGGAATTGATAAGGCTTCATGAATGGAGTTTGGTATCTCAATTGATGACAGGTTTGCAACCACAGCCTGAACTGAATCGGATAGATGATTGTACCGTACGAAATTAAAGATAGGACATTGTGTACAAGATCTAACTCCATTTCTGAGTACAATAGGAACATCCAAATCATTAGTAGTCACTTTGTGAAGAAGAGAGATTACCTGACTCCAGATCAGATTCATGGTTTTGCGGTTGGACTATGAGATGTTCCACATTTTCAGGATTTTTCCTTCTAAGATAAACACAAAGCTTTTATGTGATTGCAAGTTGTTTGTCTCCCCTGTCATTGAACTTAGTTGTACAAAGGAGTCAATACTTTGTGACGTATCGAAAAGTGGAGAAGGTTAGTAGGTGAAGTATAGTTTGACATGGGAGGTTTCGATTCTTTGATGGGTGATATGGGTATCTGTGGTATTTGTGATGTAGTTTCCAAAAAATTCCCATCATCACGTTCCTCTCCCTGAGGGGAATTTTGGGAAAAACAGGGAACAAACTCAAAGAATGTAACATCCATAGATATGTAGTATTTACGAGTGACAATGGAGTAACTATTGTACCCTTTCTTTGATGGAGAATACCCCAAGAACATACATTTTTGAGCTTTAGAACCTAACTTAGTACGTTTGTGATCATGGATATGAGTGAAGGCTGCACACCCAAACACTCTTAGGGGTATGGAAAGTATAGATCGGATTTGCGGGTAAAGATTTGACAGAACTATTAACAAAGTTGTGAAATTGTATATCCTGGTAGGCATTCTATTTATGAGATAACATGCAGTGAGAACTGCATCTCCCCAAAATAGTTTTGGAACATTACTAGTAAAAACATAAGGGCTCTAGTAGTTTCAAGGAGATGCCGATTTTTTCTTTTTGCAATTCCATTTTGTTGGGGGATAATAATACAGGAACTTTGATATAAGATACCTTTCTCGATGAGAAAATTTCCCAAAACTTGATTGAAGTACTCCCGCCCATTATTGGTTCGAATTTTTTTTTTGGGGCATCAAATTGGGTTAGAATCATAGAGTAAAAGTTTTTTAAAGTTTACGTAGTTTGGACTTATCTTTCAAGAGATAGACCCAACATACCCTCGTATGATTATCCGTAAAAGTTATGAACCAATGTTTACTCGTAAGACTCTTAACCCTAGAAGGACCCCACAGATCACTATATATTAAAGTAAAAGGTGATGACGATTGATAATCATGAGACTGAAATGAAGAACGAGCATGTTTAGCTGATTGATAAATATCACAAGTAAACATATCTTTATTGCAAAACAATGATGAGAGTAAATGTTTAAGATATGAAAAACTAGGATGATCTAAATGACGGTGTCACAACATTTTTTTTGTTCTCGAGGGATAGACCTGCAGCTTGCAGTGTGAGCTTGTTTATTCCAGTAAACATCTTTCAGAAAATAGTAAAGTCTCTCACATTCTTTAGCATGACCAATCCTCTTCCCCGAAGTCAAATCCTAAAAATACACAATGACTCGGTAAAATTGACGCTGCAATGCAAACTTTAATTAATTTGCCGATAGAAAGAAGATTGCAAGATAAATTCGACATATGGAGTGAGTCTAATAGTTCTGATTCCAACAATTGGAGAAAGTGACCCATCAGCTATTTTTACTTTCAAATGTCCGGGACATGGTTAGTAAAAATTAAAATAATTTTACACAGGCTGTCATGTGGTCAGTGGCTCTCAAATCGATAACCCATTATTTCACATTACCTCTGTCTGCTAGAGTCGACATGTGATTACCTCTCTTTGCCGTCAAGCTAGAAGCCGGTGCTGTATAAGTGAGAAGCTTGTATAATTGCTCAAGTTGGACTTTGGGAAAAGAGGGAGAAATATTCTCAGATGGGGCTGTGCTCGGCGAAGGTTCGGTCGAACTCTGGAGGCCGAAAAGGTTACGCGACTGGGCTTCCTCAAGGTGAACCTATTTTGGTCTGCATCACTTCGATTGCCTTGCTTTCTATTCGGAGGTCTATCATGAAGAACCCAACACTGGTCGGTGGAGTGGTTAGTTCTCTTGCAGTGTTCGCATCAAGGGTTGTTAGATATTGGTACATGTGATGGTACTTGTCCATGAGCAGCAAGTGCAGAGGTCTCCAATGAAGATTGCTTGGAGTCTCCAATGAAGATTGCTTGGAGTCTCCAAGCATTACACATTTCTGACTGGCTTCCCTACGTACTTCAGCAAAGATTTTATCAATTGCAGGAGTCAGCTTCGTACCCAGTAATCTGCCACGAACTTCAACCAATTCGAGAACCAAATCGGCTAGAAAATCATAGATTTTATCATTTTCCACCCGTTTCTTATACTTCTCAGTATCCTTAGGTTTATCCTAATCTTTTTGAACGAACATGTCAATCTCTCGCCATAGCCGTTGCAGGGAGTTGTGATATTGTCTGATATCCAATTCACCTTGGCGTAGATTTCGTGCCCTATTTCGAAGCTCAAATAGTTGAGCAGAATTTTCTAAGTCTGAAAAGGCTACCGTAAATACACCCCAGAGCTCTTTTGCAATTGAATAATACATTTAAGATTCCCTAATATCCTCTTCCATTGAAATATCTATCCAAGCTGATGCTACCAAAAATCGTACCTGCAGATTTCCCGAACTTGATGATTGATAAGGAGCACAAACGTGATCTTCCGATACCTGAAACAAAGGCAACGAGGTATGTTCTCGTCGCCCCTCCAATGCTTAACTCAGAAAGGGGAAATATATGCGTGAGGCTATGTGCTGAAGAACAATGAGAAAACGTACCTGAATAATGGTTCAAGGTTCTGTATTTATAGTGGTAAGTGACATTCTCATAATTGGACTGAGCTAGCTGGATGTCATCATCTGTTGGAGTCCTGAATGGTTAAGGAGTTGGTTGAATTCCGGAATTATACATGAGATAGGATTCTTCTGGGAGTTAAGATTCCTAATTGCGTAGGAATTCTAAAGGGTTAACAATCGTCAGTAGTGAGGGGGAGCATATTCCCGAGGACTATGCCCGAGGACATATGGTTGCAATATGCGAAGCAGCATGGAGTTGTGGTCGGGCATAGTGTCTCGAGGATGTTCATCCTCGAGGACACCGCAAATGGATTTACAACTTTATCAAAACTAGTCCTCGGGATACACTGATCGGGGATATTGGAAAAATGTCACCATCACAAGCCATTACCATGGAGTTCTGAGCATCCCATGTTGCATATGTAGGATCATCTTCATCCGATTTTGTTGTAGTTCCGATTACGTAACCAAGATGTCCACAACCAAAATCACCATGAGAGCAGTCCGAGACCATTGCAGGAAGTTCTTGCTATTTAGTCGGGTGGTGATGAGTTGGAAAGAAGTGTTTTTTTTTATCATGGGAAGGTAATTTGTAGGGAATTGTGCACTTTTTTTTTAATGAGGTGTCCCAGCTTGCGCCAGACTATATCCTCGTCCCTGAACCTCCGGCCCCTCAGCAGCTCAGGGAGGTAAATCGCGGGATGTGCCCTTGTTGGTTCCCAAGTTCCCACACGGCTTTTACTCCTTCCCCGAAGGGAGCCTCTTTACTGCCTTACAGCAACTTGCCTTCCAAGATAAATCTTGCCTTCCAAGTTGTGCCTTCCAGGAATCGAACTCCCCACGCTTGGTTCCAGAGCCCCCCAATGTGATTGTTCCGCCAACTTGAATGTGCCCTGGAGGGCGGGATGTGTGCACTTTTAGATATGGGTTTAGAGGTTGCAGTAGAATCCTTATCTCTATGTGCACCTGTCATGGTCAAATTTTCCATTTTACCTACTCAAAAACCCTTGGCTTGGGTAGGACCTTTTTGCCTTCCTCTTTACTGATCTGTCCTTGAACTTATAATTGTGCTCGTTCTAATGACTTGTTCTTTTTTGCAGAGATGACTTTTGATCCTTTAGCCCTCAGACAGGCCGTGACCAAGAAGTCAAAGGCCCCTCAAACCCGAGCTTCAGGGCAGAAGAGAGGAAAGAAGAAAGCTCGGGACACGGAGAATATCAGGAGTGGGCCTGGCAAAACTTCTGCCCGAGGACATACCCCGACCACACAGGCCACGAAGACTCCTACTGGTCCACCTCGGTCACATCCTCGACCAAGGAGTACTCCCGAGGTTGTTGACCTCGAGGATGAGGTTCGACCTATGCCCTCTTTCCAAAACCAGGAGCCTGACTGGTGTCCTCTGGTGTCAAGCATCGTGGACAAGTACAGGAAGGACCTCGATTTTGATGAGGGCATGAAGGCTCTGGAATCCCTTACTCTGAAGGTAAGCTCGCCCATTCTACTTTGTTTAAAATACAAGGTTTAAAAAGGTTTAAACACTGTGATTATTTTAAGCTCGGGTTTATATGTTGTAGGCTTTGAGCATTGCCCGAGGCCTTTCTCTGAAGGGGAAAGATGAGGCCCAAAAGACCACTGAACTCGAGGACTCTTCTCGAGCACTGGAGAAGAGGGTAGCCGACTTGGAGGCTGAACGGTTTCTTCTTCGGAAGGAGCTCGAGGATTCAAAAAATGATGCCCATAGAGCTCGAGAAGAGGCTGGAACTGCTAAGGGCGAGGCTGAAGGTTTAAAGCTCGAGATCGAGCGTTTGAAGGTTGATTTTGAGACTCGCCTGGCTGAAGCTCAAGGGGTCACGATCGAGGACTTTAAAATGTCCGAGGAGTTTAACGGCCTTAAGGGAGAGTATGCCATGGGCTCGTACTTCTATGCCTTCAAGGAAGCTCGGGCATTTTTGAGATCGAAGCCCGATGCTAACCCCGAGGATCTAAAGAACATCCCGGAGATTGCTGATACCCTCGAGCTGTCAGAGTCCGAGGAAACCGTCGAGGACTAAGAGGTCGATGTTGACGGCGAGGAAGCAGTGGAGGAGCAGGGGAGCACAGCCTCGGGAGAAAGGGCCGAGGACTTAGATTAGGTTTTTTTTTTGTATGATGATAGCCCTTCCATTTTGTAATTTGAACATGTATTTTACTCGATCAAGTATTTTCCTTTTGCTGTGTCAATGTATCTCGATCATTCAAATAGCCCGACGTAAGATGGTTAAATAACTCGACGCCTAGAGTAGTTGAAACACCTCGAGGACCTAATTTGTGAAAATATTTCTGAATATTATAACGAACACAAATTCATCCCGAGGACTCAAACTGTAAAATTATTTGGGAACATCGTTGTTGAACTCGAGCATTAAACAAGTTACCTCGAGGACTAAATAATAAAATTATCTTGGAACATCCAAGTGTGAACCCCAAGCAAGTATCTCGAGGACTAAATAATAAAATTATCTTGGAACATCCAAGTGTGAACCCCCGAGCACTGGACAAGTTACCTCGACGACTAAAGAAGATTAATTATTTTCGACGACTAATTAATCATCTCGACGATTGAGAATAACTCAATTTTTAGATAAGTGATAATGCCGAGGACAGTGTAGTTTTCTACACACTTAACACTCGAGGATTAAGTTCAAAGGATGGTAGTCCCCGAGGAGTACGAATAATTGTGACCGACCTCTGTACATGAGTTTATCCCGAGCTTTCATTTTCAGGCTTGGAAAAAAATACAAGGATATATGGTCGGGATATATGTCCTCGGTATTTATACTTGTGCTGCACTATTTTGATGTGCTGATTATGAGCTCCAAGATTTTGGTGCTTGCTCGAGGCAAGGCTTTAGACGGCTTGCTCGAGCGCAAGGCTTACATTGGTTTGTCAAGGACAAGGCTTAAAGGGGCTTGCTCGAGGGCAAGGCTTACATTGGCTTGTCAAGGATAAGGCTTAAAGGGGGCTTGCTCAAGGGCAAGGCTTAAAGGGCTTGCTCGAGGGCAATGCTTACATTGGCTTGCCAAGGACAAGGCTTAAAGGGGGCTTGCTCGAGGGCAAGGCTTAAAGGGCTTGCTCGAGGGCAAGACTTACATTGGCTTGTCAAGGACAAGGCTTAAAGGGGGCTTGCTCGAGGGCAAGGCTTACATTGGCTTGCCAAGGACAAGGCTTAAAGGGGGCTTGCTCGAGGACAAGGCTTACATTGGCTTGTCCGAGGACAAGGCTTACATGCTTGCTCGGGGCAAGGCTTTAGACGGCTTGCTGGACGCAAAGCAAACTATCGGGTTGTTATACCCGGGGTTTGGATTTATTAATTGTTTGGACTGGACTTGGATTTATAATGTATCCAAGCTGCCTACGTACCCAAACGGGATTAAGCCGAACGTAGTTCATTACAAAAGAGAACGGAAAACATGCATGGGCACGCAGGCCCGCTAAACTAGAAATAAAATGCAGAAAAAGAAAATCTCCAAAAAGGCGTCGGGAATTTTACTTGTAATATATTTTTAGATTGTCGGCATTCTAGGGCCTCGGAAGAGGTCTGCTCGAGGTGTCTCTTAAGCTGTATGCTCCTCTGCGAACCTGTCGTATGACTTCAAAGGGCCCTTCCCAGATGGGCCCGAGTTTCCCTGGGGGGTGGCCTGCTGCTTCGGCCCTCCTCAAGACCAAATCGCCAGCTCTGAATCTCCGAGCCTTGACTTTGCTATTAAAATGTTTCGCTGTCTTAGTTTGGTAAGAGGCCACCTTTATAGCGGCTTGCTCCCGTACTTCTTCCAAGAGATCAAGATGTTCAGTTGTATGCTCCGAGATTTCTGAGTTGTATGCTCCGAGGTTTCTGGCACGAGCCTCCTATGGCTTGGCAGTCTAATTTTCACTGGGACCATTGCTTCAATGCCATAGGCTAACATAAAAGGGGTTTCTCCTGTGGTTGTCCTATGAGTTGTTCTATATGTCCGTAGTATAGAAGGTAGCTCGTCGGACCAAGAACCCCTAGCATTGCTTATTCTTGTTCGGAGGTCTTGCAATATGATTCGATTTGTTACCTCGGTCAGACCATTGCTCTGAGGATGCGAAATTGATGTCAGACGGTGATCAATCCCAAGGTTTGAGCAAAAGTTTCTAAATGGTTGGTTGTCAAATTGCCTGCCATTGTCGGTGATGAGGACCTTTGGTATCCCAAACCTACAAATGATAGACCTCCAAGTGAAGGCTCTTAGCTTGGGCTCCGATATTGTGGCGAGAGGTTCGGCCTCTACCCATTTTGTGAAGTACTCTACTGCTACAGCAACAAACTTTAA